GGTGCGACTTCTGGGGTGGGAGGTGCCCTGCCCGGGGAGTTCCCTAGCAGGTGGCGGGATGAAGGAAAGGAACCCAGAGAGGGACACCAGCGCACAGCTGCTTGCCTGGGTAGCGTTGCCAGATAAAATGCAGAACGTGCAGTTCAAAGTGGCATTGAAGGTAAACGAGTAAAGTTTTTTGAGTGTCTCGCTGAGTACTGAGTTTACACTGAGCTTACTGTGATCCTCCCATCCGAGTGTGGGGATTACATGCAGTGTTTTAGTGTAAGAAGTCAAATACTGCATGGAGCCTGTGACTTGTTTTTATCTGGCGGTCCTACCTTACCGGTCACCTAGAAAACGCATCTTACGTACCTATAGGTTTTCCTGACATTTGGCCTAAGTGGGTGGACCCTGGATTTTCCCAAATGCGCTCTGACTTAGTTTGCAGGTCCTGCAGACTGGTACTGTCAGCGCCTGGAGGACTCACAGGGACTTATTTGCATCACAACCATCTACCACAGTAAGTGCGCAATAAGTGCACCTAGTTTATTGAGCATCTAGTGATATATGCTACGCCCGGGGCTGTTTTATGCCCATTTCTCTGTTGAATCCTCACAATAACCTTCCGAGCGAAATACGTTTAACAGACACGTTTTACAAATGAGTTAACAGATTTGGACAGGTTTAAGACCTGTGTTTGGTTTGTGTGTGTGTGTGTGTGTGTTTTGGTTTGGTTTGGGGGGGTTGTTTTTTTTTTTGCGGAACCAGGGATTGAACTCAAGCCCTTACACTTGCCAGGGAAGCGCTTATTCCACTGAGCCATCTCCCTGGCCCTGGGTTTTATTTTTTGGCGGAACTTTTTTGTTGTTGTTTTTTGGCGGAACAAGACCTGTGTTTGTTACTTGAAATAGTTTGAGCACCTCATCTGTCCTGGGTGACGACGCAGCAGTGAAAAGTAAGGTTTTTGCTACCAAGGAAGTCAGACTCTAGAAGACTGACAAATGATACACAGACAAATATGCTAGGAGTATGTCAAATGCTAATAGATGGCCGTGAGAAAAAAAGAAAACTGATGGGGGCAGGGGACCTAGGACGTGCAGTTTTCTAAAGGACAATCTAGGCCAGAGATAGCTCAGCGGTCTCAGGGCCTCCCTGGCAAGCGCAAGGGCCAGGTGATCCCTAGTACCACATAGACTAAAACAGAAGAATCACTACGAGTGTGAGCTGCATAGGAAGACGCTATACCAAATACATAACAATAAAAGTAAATTTAAAAAGTAAAGGGCAATCTAAGAAAGCTTCACATAAAGACATTAGTGGTTAAGTGAATTCCACCCAGGAAAGATCTCCCGGGAGAGAAGGGATGGTAAATGCAGACCCAGTGGTGAATGGAATGTTTGAGGAACAGACAGGAGGCCATTGTGGCGGAGACCAGTGAGAAGAAAGAGTGAGAGTCTTGAGTATCCCGGTAAGGGCTTTAAGTGCCATTGGTGAAACTGAATCAGGAGTAACAGCATCTTGCTGCTGAGGTGAGGGTGGGCTGTGGAGGGACAGCAGGAGGGGGACCACTCCTGAGAGGGAGCGAGTAGGAGTCCATTTGGAGCAGTAGCTAGCCGGTCTGTGGAAGCCCAGGGAGCAGTAAGCAGGAGCACAAGACCTCCAAGGAGTGCAAGAGGGTGTGGGCAGTGCTGGGAGGAGCAAGTCCTTCTGGGAGGTTCCAGGGCAGGAGGATGTCATTGCTGGTGGACCACTCAGAGGAGGGAGCCCTCAGCTCAATTTGCCACACACAGGCTCACAGCCCCTTACCATTCTCCACATGTAATTCTTCCTTCTTTTCAGAAAAAAATAAAGTGAAAGAAATGGTTTTTCTTAAGAAACAAATAACTGGGCTGGTGAGATGGCTCAGTGGTCTAAAGCACCTACTTAGAAAGAACAAGCTTAGCAAAGCACAAGAGACTGCGGTTCAATCCCCCAGCACCACATGCCAGGCAGCCCCGCCCCCTGGTGGGTTGAGCTGGCCACACATACACACACACACACACACACATTTTAAAAAAAAAGAAACAAATAACTAAAAAGAAGTAACTTACTGATTATTCTCAAGTGAATCACAGGTTCTGTATATGCTGTACCTTTCTCAGGAAAGTAAATTTCACTTGCACACCAAATAGAATGTGAAACAGGAGAAAAGCTCCAATAAGAGATCTCTGTTCAAGCTCTGTGCCAGTCACTTTCACTTCAAAAGACACAGAGGGCCCTCCCGGTGGACCTGCCTTCCAGAAGGTATTAAGTTATACCTATATCTCACCATAGCCAGCCACGTACCCTGCCCCAGGGCTCCTGGTGGTTTTGATAGCAGATGCTGAGTCCAGAAGAAAAAGTTGTATTTGCCTCCCCTCCTCTCGAGAAAAAGAAGTGAGTGGGTTATATCTGGTTGGTTGTCTGAAGTGAAAGAAGTCTGAGAAATAGTCTCTCAGAGGGAGAGCTGAGACCAATGTGGGAATATCAATAAAGCAGGTTTGGTGTAGTTAGCAGATGGACAAGGGAGTGACCCTCTGATTGCTTTCTGAATCTCTTGCGGAACTGGGGATTGAACTCAGGCCTGCGCTTATTCCACTGAGCCATCTCCCCGACCCCTGCTTTCTGAATCTAGATGTCCTGAGCTCTCAGCCTTGTCACGGTATAAAAAGCAGGTCAGCCCTAAAAAAAAAAAAAAGCTGTGCCCTTGTTTTTGAAAAGCACCTAGTTTACTCCTAACATATGGCACAGGGCCTCACTGGGTGGAGTGGATCTCTACCTGGTGGTCAGCTTGCTACACCCAGCTCAATTGAACTAGGGTGGTGTTGGGTGTGGGAGGCCCACCTGAAGACTGTTGCCAGCAGCTTAAAAGACAGAAGGGGAGAAGCAGTTGAGACACTGTTAGTGATGCTGTTTGGAGAAGCTGTTGGAAGCCAGTGTTCTCGTAGGCCATTCTGCTAGGTGATCTTGTGCTGTCTTTCCTCATGAGCTTGGCTATTTTGGTCAGAGGAGGAGCTCAGGACCTCATTGTTTCTGAGAATGGCTACATTTCATTTTGGGGAGCTCTGATCCTCATCTTGAGCATCACTTCCTGGCTCCTGAGGGGAAGATGGTGCCCTGCTCAGCCTCATAGAGAAGCTTATTGATTGGCTTTCCTGATGGGAGCTCAGCTTTCCTCATCGCTGGAGGAGCTTGGGACCTCACTGTTGCTGAGGATAGCTGTGGCACTTTTAGGGGAGCTCTGGTGCTTACCTTAAGCCTTGCTTCTTAGCTCCAGTTCAGCCTGTTAGCACTGATCCTTCATCCTGCTAGTATGGACTTTCTTTTTAAAAAATTATTTTATTTTATTGATTTGTTACAGGGTCTCACTACACAGCTCAGACTCATAGTGATTCTTCATACTCAGCCTCCTCAGCTCTGGGATTACAGGCGTAGGCCACCATACCCAGTTTCAGAGCTGGTGTGGCATGCAGTACCAGGGATCAAACCAGGTTCCTTGCCCTTACCAGGCAGGCACTTAGCTGAACTATATCCCCAGGCCCTGACATAGACTTTCTAGCTTCCACCACTGACCTTTAGACCTTTCCAGAGCGGATCTGTAAAGTGGGCCTGAACGAGACTTTGTTGTGGGCTCCAGGCCTCCAGTTGGACTTCAGGAGAAATTGTTATGAGCTGTAGGTTTTTCAGCTGGACTCATGCAGGATATTAGGACCCAGGCCCTCAGTTGGATTCTTTAGTATTTATTGTATGGACAGATTTCCTGCATTTCTTGTGTATAATTTTTTGGGTGGTTCCTTATAAAATAAAATATGCCCTGTATGATATTGTTCCCCTTTCAAAAACCCCAAACCATGACACTGGTTAACCTCAAATCCAGGTGCAGGCCTAGAACTGCCTGAGATATTAACACAGGCTAGCTGGGCTTAACCTAAGAGGGGCTAAAGAGAAGATATAAAAAACATTGCAGAGACCAGGGAGATAGCTCAGTAGAATAAGTGCAGGCCTGAGCTCAATCCCCAGTTCCACACACACACACAAAAAAAAAAAAAGCATTGCAGAGATGGGCAGATGGAAAGTGACTGCTGGTGATTATGGAACGTCTTGGGGGATGTTCAGTATGTTCTAGAACTGATAGTGGCCATAACTGCACAGCCTTGCAGATACACTGAAAAACATTCACTTCCACATGTTAAAAGGCTGCATTTTATGGCCTGTGAATTGTATCTCATGTTTTTTAATTCAAGCAAAAGAATTTTGGTCTCCTCTAGCTTCTGGAAAGAGTAAAATTCTGAACTCCTTTGCTAAACTGCCACACACTGTGATGCAGAGCGTGGGGCTCTGGTGGTGTGGAGGGGCCCTTGTGCTACAAGAGCTACCAGTCTGGAGGGATGCCAGAGCTGTTGGCATTGGGCACAGCAGTGTTCTGTGCCTTGTCCTTGAAGTGACTGCCTAAACAAGCAAAATGCACCACGTGGTAGCATTAGTCCTAGTGCCTTGCTTGCAAGGAGAGTAAGGGTAGCAGGTCTACTCAGAACCACTCCCTCCACAGGGAGAAAGGGAGTTGGGGATGCAGCTCGGAGCTAGAGCACGTCCCTAGCCTTGGAATGCCGTGGCTCCATCCCCAGCCCTGCAAAAATCCATCCCTTTGTTCTTTCTCTCCAGTATGAGTTTGCAAAGCTGTATCACATGGTTAGTTGCCCCTACTGTGGGCCAGGCCTTAGGCTGGGTTTTGGGGTCACACAAAGGCCACTAGCCAGTCATGAGCTCCTGAAGGAGGCAGCTCTAATCCCACACCTCAGCCCCTGACAGGTCACCATTTTTCCTGAAGCCAGGCTTCTTCCAGTCTTAGAAGCCCATAAGGACAGAGGTGAGTCAGACAAGGTGTGAGTGGGCGACACCTGCAGTGCAGTGGGCTCAGGAGCATGGGCTCACTGTGTAGTGGGGAAGTCTCTCTCACGCCTGAGTTGGGCTAATTTTTCAGTTGAACTGCTAGATTCCACTGGAGTATTAGAAAAGGTAAATTTTATTTTCATATTCACAAAAGTGAGAAAGATACAAGGAGACCCTGAGGACACCCCAAAACCTGGCTGGCCAGGCCCCTTGCCCTGCAGAGAAGGCAGACACAGCTGGAAGGGACAGGATTTATGTTGCATACTTGAACTACAGCGGGTGGAAGGCTGGTCCTATTTACAGGACAGAAACAAACACTACAGGCAGGGCATAGGGGCAGCAGAGTGAGCACCAGCGTCCTGGCGGTAAGTGTCCTGCTTACCACCTTCCCCACCTCTCGCAGAGGCATCTCCAGGCCCCACTGGGGCTGTCCAGGGGGAATGGGGCCTGCTCACATGATGCTTGCTGGGGTGAAGACGGGGCCCACGCACAGAGTGTCTGTGATCTCCCAGCCGCAGGACAGAGGCTTGCACATACCCTCAGCATCCTCTTCTTGTTCCACAGGCAGCAGCTGTCTCCGCAGAGCTTCCCTAGGGGTAAGGAAGTGGTCCTAGAGGCAGCCAGCTCAGGACGACAGAGGTTTCTTTTGGCCCCTGTCCTGTGCTCCTGGTCTCATCAAGCTCAGGATCTTACCTAAGCCCAGCAAAGGTCAGGGGCAAGTGACACCTGCTGACCCTTGACTCCTTCTGCTTGCTTACCCTGTGGTCCCCACTGTCCAAAAGGAAAAGGGAACCCACATTTATGAGCACTTCCTGTGAGTCAGGTATCATGCTGGCACTTCCCACCTGTCTAAAACCCCATGAGGAGCCCATTCCTATTCCCATTTTATTGGTGAAGAAACCAAGGATCAAGAGAGCAGTGGCCTGCCCCAGAACACATCCCTAATGGTGCCAGCACGAGGGTTGAACCCAGCTCTTGTCCCTGTCTTTCCTTCTAGGCATGCCAACCTCTGTTAATGCCTCAGATACACCACCCTTGCCCCCCCCACCCCGTGCCTCCTGCCTCCCACCTTCCCAGGGAGCAGGACTCCACCTAAGGGAGGGCTTGTGCTCCCATCCAGCACAGTGCCACCCCACATGCCTGCCTGCAACTCTGCATATCCTGGCACTTCGATTCTCTCATCCCCTCTGTAAGCCCCAGGTGGGTGATAAATGGGCTTCAGCAGGAGCTCCTTGCCAGTTCTGGTTACACAGAAGCAGGTCTCCAGGATCACAGGCTTCCCTTTTCACTTAGGCCTCACTTCCCCCAACCCTCCATTTCACAGCAGGCCCTCTTACCAGGCTACCCTGGACATGGTATAGGTGATGTGGTAGGTCTTGGTCCCCCCCAGGAGGGAGCCTTTGCCCACAGTGTAAGCGCCCATGTTCTCAAAGACCAGCCAGTCCCCTATGTGTAGTTGTGGCAGCCACAGGCCTTCAGCCACACAATCTCGGCCATCAGCAACTGGGCCCCACAAGCTGCTGCTGTACAGGGGCTGCTCCATGGGTGGTTTCTGTAGGAGAGAAACACAGCCATCAGCCCTCCTCGGCATACCACAGCCTTAGCACAGCTCCTGTGACTGACAGGAGATCGGATGACCTTCATAACTGAGCATTTGATGCCCTCCCCAGTCCTCTGCGTCCAGTGTCTCTTAGGCTTGGAAGCCACAATAGCTGGTCTCAAATCCACTTTCCAACTTTCTAGCTCTGTGACCTTGGGCAAGATACCTAATTAATCTGTGCCTCAGTTTTTTAATTTAAAAGATATGACCAACAAATAGTATCTACTTGAGAGAGCTTCTAAAAGGATAAATTAGTATATGTAGAACATTTAACATGACAGAGGTTCAATTTAGTAACTGCTGTTGTTACTGCTGTTATTGTTACCACATCTCTTCTTTGGCCTTCACTGGCCACTCTCCTGTAGACACAAACTGTGACTGAACCTGTGCAGCCCTCCTCCTGCCCCCAATTCCAGACCCCTTCCAGGCCAGCCCTAGGGTTTCCCTCTGTGAATGCCTCCCATGTCCTCTCATTCTTTGCCAGGCCCAGTGACCAGAGCCAGGACACATCTGTGAGGAAGGCACACCTCCAATAGAAAATCACAGGGTGACTAGGCAGAAGTCATGGAAGACTTTCCAGCTAGACATAATTACTGGGGTTTTTGTTTGTTTTTTGTAGGGAAACGGAGGCTCTTAGAGGTGATGGATTTGCTCAAAGGCAGAACTTACCAATGAAATTTTAAATTTTTTTCTTAAATGACTTCCAAATCTAGAAAACAACTTAAACCATTTTCAGGCTGGCCAAGATAGAGGTGCAGTTTGTCATAATGTAAAGGCAGGTGCTAAGGGCCTGGGAGATGGCTCAGTGGAATAAGCGCTTCCCTGGCAAGCACAAGGGCCTGAGTTCAAATCCTGGTTCCACCAAAAAAAAAAAAAAAAAAAAAAGGCTGGCGCTAGAGGAGGAGTCACAGCTTAGGAACAGGTGTGTGCAAATCCTAACTGTGGCCTCAGGGCCCCTTATCCTATCTACTGCGCTGTACCAGTTCCACTTACACCTGTCGCTCTGGGTTTCCTGAGAACTTCCCTTCTCCCCTGGCCTTCACCCTTGCTGTTTCTTGAGGCTCCAAATCTGCCAGCTCCTGTTTGTCCTTTAGATCTCACAAGAATCAGCCTCCAGGAAGTCTTTCCTAAAGCTCAACTGCCCAAGCCTCACCTTTACAGCATTTGCCAGGATTTGCAACTGGGTATTTGTTTGTGAAGTATCTGCTCAGGCCTGTTCTCCCTGACAGTAAATTCCATGAGCCCAGAAATGGCAGTAGCCCGGTTCATCTCTGTCACCTCCACATCTTCCAGCCTGGCATACAGTAGGTGCTTTTTTAGTTTTTTTTTTGTTTGTTTGTTTTTTGTTTTGTTTTGTTTTGTTTTTTGCTTTTTTAGTATTTTTAAGCAAATGGATTAGATAGATAGATAGATAGATAGATAGATAGATAGATAGAAAGAAGCTTTTAGAAGGAAGCAGTGAAGACCTTAGCCAGAGACAGGAATGAGGAAATCAAGTCTCCATACACAGAAGTAATATTCATGTATTTGACAATTATTAATAAGCTGCTAGTCCCATTAATATCAAGAAAAAGAACATTTATGAATCCTTTCATTTAACAAGTACTTATCGAACACCTACTATGTATCAGGTCTGACATAGAGCTGAGAATGCACAATGAGCACAAAAAACCCATTTCTGTGGTGATAAAACTCACATTTTAGGAAAGGGAGATAGACAAATATATCCATTTTGTTTGACTTAATCTTATTTACAAAATTGTTGTTCATGAGTAAAATTAATCTCAGTTGCTCTGCATTATTTCCCTTGCCGCCAGGCATTTAAATATGTTAAACTAATGTTTAAAGATTCTGGGGGAGGAATGGTCCGTAAACATATCCACAGAGATCTTTGAGTAAATAGAATTTAATGGTTCTTCCACCATGAAGAGAAAAGGCAATAGGGTTATAAGAAGTTAGCATTCTCTCACATCCCATTAGTAGTACAAATAAAATATAGGTAGAAAAAAGGATTTCAAAATGTCACGAGATAATGTAAAATACCTTTTACTATTTACATCCATTTTTTAAATTTTTTTCTTATTTTAAAGAGAGAAAATAAAATTTCAAAGCAAGACAGCAGAAGGGTAGCAATGGTTAGTACATTGCATATTGTTATCTTTAAATTAGTTACTCAGGGTACAAGATATAGGCATTTAATTGTCCAAACAATGTTAGCATAAACCTTTCTCTTCAATGCACTAAAAGAAATTAGTTCTATAACTATCTTAACTCTTGTGTGTGTCATAATATTTTGCTTTTCCCTTTTTTTTTCTGCTTTCCCCCCCATCCAATTTCTCTTTCTTTTTGAAGTTTCTTCCCATTTTACAATGTCTATTGTGCTTTTTTTTTTTTTTTTTTTTTCCCTCAGAACCAGGGATTAAACTTAGGCCCTTGCGCTGGCCAGGCAAGCACTTATTCTACTGAGCCATCTCCCCGGCCCCTCTATTGTACATTTTGGATCTTACTCTCAGCTTCTCACACTAGGGAGACAATACAATGTTTGCACATATGCATTGAGTATGGTCTTGAGTTGTATCCATTTACCTATAAAAGTCTCCAACTTATCCTTCTTTATGAATAAAAAACCACATCTTTTTTATACATTCCTCAGTTTACAGCCATTTGGGGGGGGGGGCAGAACCAGGGATTAAACTTAGGTCCTTGTGCTTTCCAGGCAAGTGCTTATTCTACTGAGCCATCTCCCCAGCCCCCAACAGCCATTTTTTAAAAAGAACTCTTCAACATAAATATTCCAAAATTCTCAGTGAAACCCTGTTTACAAATCTGATAACGTGCAAATAGAAAAGCATCTGTAAAATTCCAGGACACCCAGCCTATCAGCCACAGGGTCCTTCTGTGGTAGAGCAAGGGGGTCTGCATTTACAAAGCATGCCCAACACCCACAACTTCACAGCTCATTGGTGAGGTAGGTACCAGAAGTGCAATTCCCATTTTACAGATAAGAAAACGCAGAAAGGGGGCGACCTGCCCCAGGTCCTGGAAGAAGTTAAGAAAAGAACTCTGCCCCATATCAGATGCAGATCCCTTCCCCATAGAGGCCTAATGCAAAAGCATATTCACAAACATAAGAAAGTCAAACATTTAAAAAGGTTTGTGGTCCTAATGGACCCTTACCTAATCCCCCAACTACTTAAAATCGATATTTCCCATATGACGTGAAGTGTACAGAAACACTTTGAAAGAAGAAAATGTGGTGCTGGTGAGATGGCTTAGTGGTCTAAAGCACCTACTTAGAACAAGCTAAGCAAAGCACAGGGACCGCGGTTCAATCCCCCAGCACCACATGCCAGCCAGCCCCGCCCCCTGATGGGCTGAGCTGGCCACACACACACAAAACAAATAAATAAAATTTTTTTAAAAAGAAAGAAAATGTAATGAATAAGGACAATGCACAAAAAGGGAAAGAAAAAAAAAAACCTACACAAAATTTCAGTTGTGAAACCAGGTTGATGGTGCATGCCTATAATTCCAGTACTCAGCGGGGCAAAGGCCAGAAAATTGTTGCAAGTTCAAGACCAGCCTGAACTGCAAGGTAAAACCCTGTCTCAAAAAAATAAACAAAATTAAAAAATCATTTGTAAGCATACAGGCAAAACTCAGACACGAAACCTCATCTAACCAAATCCATGCTCATATTCAAAGACTCATCTGCAGTGATCAGATAATTTGTTTCTAAAAGGGAAGGGACAGCGTGAGCGGTGTCAGCTACTGTCTTCATCATCCTCCAGAAAATACAGGTCTACAATTTAAATTCTCTGTCTGGCTTTGTGATTCTAGAGCTGGACTAGAATTTCATTGTCAGCCACACAGTGAGAGGCTTTGTCAAGAGGTGACCGGGGACACAGCTGGACAGATCAAGGAGATACTTGCCTCTGGCTCAGCAGGCATGGGTCTGGTAGCACTCACCTCAGTGGCTTTCACAGGTGGCCTTGGCCTGCATCTTTTGGCAAGGTGATGCTCCTCCCAGCAGGAGACTGCTGCTATGATTGAGCACCCTCTGATGCGCTTCTTAGCCACTGGTAGAGTGCATGTTCCTATGATACTACAAGCTGTCTTCAAAGGTTATGATTTGGCCTTCAAAAGAATGAGATAGGAGAGAGGCCTGATCCTCCTAAAAGGCAAGTGAAAGTAACTCCATGGCTACCCCAGGCATCTTGTTCCTGGACCATGGCCTCATCAGTTCCCACGTGGCTGCTCAGGGAGACACTTGCTTTGGTTGCAGCAGGCTTCAGTCACAGACTCATCACTGTTGACCATCACTCTGCTACCCTCCTCAGTTAGGTCCTGTAGGGGTGCTTTCCCTTGCCCTGACCACTCTACAAGCATCTTCCTGCAGATCACTCTGGGTCGATCTGTGCAGCATACGGCCTTGTAAAGCTTCCTCTACATGATATCGCTGCCCATTTGTGATTTCTGTCTCAAGTAGTGCATGCTGAGCTGGCAAAGGAAAAGTGTTGTCGGCAGCCTGACGTGATAACACTGAAGGTGGCTGGCAGCCAGAGAATGCTGGAGAGCAGTGAACGATTGCTGGGAGCCCCCACCTCTGACCTTCTACAGAAGGCCTTCCTGTAGCCGCCTGCTCCAAGGAGCAAGAGAGGAGAGCCAGGAACATGAAAAGAGTTGATATCTACTTGACTTGAATGTTAAGAGCTGTTGACACTACAAGAACACCCTTTGCCGGTTCATGATTTATATATGAGTTCAGAAGTCCATCCAGTCATGAACATCACCGAAGAATACATGGCACTCGCCCCTTGGGACTGGCCAGAGGAAAAGGGTAGATTATGATGCTGGTCATCCAGAGGCTCAAGAGTCATCCCAAGTCTGATTTCCATCTTACACGTGGCTTAAGGCACTGCAGTCACCCATAACAAGAGGAGCTAGTCTCT